TGAAAAGCACACAAACAAGTGACAAAAGTCATCCATATGGTGTTGCAGTTAAACAGTCATTGGATCAAATGCTGAGTTTTGCTGCGCGTGATGGTTTGCGCTTTGGATGTGTTGCGGATCGTGTTGGGTATATTGAATATGGTCCAGTGGCAGCGTCAGAAACCGTTGGTATTCTTGTTCATGTCGATGTTGTTCCGGTGGGAGATGGCTGGACGTCATCACCATTTGAACCAGAACAACAGGGACATTTTCTGACTGGTCGTGGTGTTGATGATATGAAGGCCTCGACAATGCTGAGTTACTACGCTATCAAACTGATTGCTGATCAACAGCTTGCTGTTAAAAATAAAATAAGATTAATCATTGGCACCGATGAAGAAAATGATTGGTCAGATATGCCTTATTATTTTCAAACAGAGGGGGTGCCAGACATAGGTTTTTCCCCTGATGTATTTATTGTTTGAAAATGCTGAAGCAGGGTATTGCCAACTTTATGGTGTCATTTCGATACCACACAGGCAGATAAATTTAAACTTATTAAAATTTGGGACGCGGAGTTGATGACAACGTTCGTCCCGGCTTGGCTGTTGCTACAATAACTGGGATTGACGAGACTATTGTAACCGAAAAGCTTGACTATTTTTTGAAGCAAAATGCTGATGTTGGCCTGAAAGCTACTGTCCAAACGCTAAGTAATGGCCTTGAAATTAAAATGATAGGGAAACAAGCGCATGGCTCAACACCTGATGTTGGTTTAAATGCTGGGACTTACTTGGCTAATTTTCTGACGCAATTGGTCTTTACTGGTGAAGCCGCCGCTTTTTTACAAATTTTAGGTCATACAGCACATTTAGATTATTTCGGCAAAAAAATGGGCTTGGCCTTTAATCAAGCTGAAATGGGACCTTTGGTCGTGAATTATGGTTTACAGAAATTTGTCAGTGGCGAGGATGGTTACTTTAGTATCAATATCAGATATCCAATTGGTATTACTGAAAAACAAATGCTTGCCATTATTCAACGAAGTGTCAAAACCTTGCATAGTAGCGTGACAGTCAAAAAGGATGAATTGTTGCCACATTTGACGCCCAAAAACGATGCTGTGATTGAAACTTTGTTGGCCAGTTATGAAACAGTGATGGGTCAACCCACGGTTCTGCATTATTCAACTGGTGCATCTTACGGTCGATTAATTAAGCGTGGTGCTGCTTTTGGAACACGATTTGCGTGGCAAACAACAACGGCGCATCAAGCAAATGAAAAATATGATTTAGAGAATTATCCAAAAGCAATGGCTATTTTAGTGGAAAGTATCTACCGATTGGGAAATATAGAATGATTATTGTTAGCGACATTAAATTAAAAAAATACACTGTTCAGCTAAGACGGCCATTTGTGACTAATTTGCATCGGCAGGATAATGCAGAAGGTATCGTGATTGCAGTGTCAGCGAAAACGGAAACCGGCATTATTTTTACAGGTTATGGTGAAGCGGTGCCATCACTGAAAGTAACTGGTGATACTTTGACAAGTATTGTGGCGGTCATCAATGACATTGTAAAACCAGCCATTGTTAATCAAACCTTTCAAACACCGGCAGAAGTTGATGAATTTATTCATGGTCTAATTGTGTTTAATTCTGCAGCTCGTCTGGCAGTCAGTGAAGCCGTCTATGACATTTTTGCTAGTATTGCAGACTTACCGATTGCTGAGTATTTAGGTGGCACGAGTCAACCGGTAGTGACCGATTACACACTGAGTATTAGCCAAAAAAATCAGATGTTACAAGACGCTATGAATGTCAGCCAGGGTCTCAGCTTTAAAAATTAAGGTTGGCGGCGATACTATTGTGAATGAAATTGATAAAATTGCACAATTAAATCATCGATATCAAAAAATACATTTTCGAATTGATGCGAATCAGGCTTGGACAGTTGCACAAACAATGCAGTTTATTGAAATGGCACTTACCAAAGAATTGCCAATTGATTTTATTGAACAGCCATTGAAAGTCGGCTTTGAACACCAGCTTAAAGCGCTAGTTGTCAAGTCTAAGATACCGATCATGCTGGATGAAAGTGTCTTTAATCATCACCAAGCGTTTCAATATATGCATGAAACCGCTGTCCGTTTGATTAATGTTAAGCTGGAAAAAGCAGGCAGTATTACTGAAGCGCAAAAGATATTTCAAACTGTTAATGATTTTAACGGACAAGCTATGATTGGTTGTATGATTGAATCAAAAATCGGTATTGCATTTGCTGTCGCTTTAGCTAACACAAATAAAACTGTCAAATACGTTGACTTAGACGCACCTTTTATGTTTAACTATGACCTTGTTCCTGATGGCTTGCGGCTTGATCAAACGCAATTGATACCTTCAAATCAGTCAGGATTGGGTATTGCGCAGAGGAGTTTTGATGACATTTAAGATACAAAAAATTGCGCAATTGCTGTCGGATTTTGAAGGTCAGACTGCAATTGTTTTGTCACTTGATGGCAGTGTTTTGTTGTCGTTACGGCCAGATTTATCTTTTCCATCTGCTAGTTTAATAAAGTTACTGATTTCAGATTATATTATGACTGAAAAGCCAGAAGCCTTAGCAAACAAAGTGTCGCTAATCAATTCAGATTTTGGGTTAGCGGAGGATGATGTTTGGTGGACGAAACGAAAGCTAACGCATTTTGGAGCAGGTATTTTAGACGTATTGTCGGGCAATAATCAGACTGTCACGGTGGCGCAATTGCAAGCGCTAATGTTGACGATTTCAGATAATTGGGCCGCAAATGCGTTGATACGTTATTTTGGTATGGCAGAAATCAATCACTTTGCGAGCTCTCGTTATACAAACACTCACTTGCGTCGCCAATTCATGGCACAAACCAAGTTAGATAATGAAACAACGGTCTCTGATAGTTTATCAATGTTAAAAAATGTTCTGGAACATTCGGCTACCAACTATTTATTGACGCGTCAGCAATCGCAATATAAGTTGCCGGGGACGTTTATTGAAAACACCTCAGCGTCATTTCAAGAATTAACCATTTTCAATAAGACTGGTGAAGGTGCAACAGTTGATCGAAGAGCAGAAATCACCAATTAGGTGCGCTGATATACAAAAACAACGCCAGTCACAGATCCAGCGACTGGCGTTGTTAACAATATAATCATGATTGTGGAAGAAATGACTTGTTTTTAAATGTGTTAATATTGGATTGTGTTGTAATACCCTGTGTATAGCTGACGGGTAAAATGGTGATCAAATTGTCCTTATCTATTTTTTCGGATTTGAACTGAGTCAGCAATTTTTGAACAGCAACTTCTGCCATTTTTTGTTGATTGACGAATTGCTGAGAGAAAAATTGGTTGTCTGGGATATATTTTTGCAGCATCAAATCCAATGATTTGAACATCTTTTGGAACTAACACCTGGTGTTTGACTAAAAGATGCCAAAAGTCACTTGCATATTCATCAGTGTCTGAAAAAACACCATCAAATTGAAATTTGCCATTGATAAGGTGATTATCTATGAAATGATCATAGTCTGAGCTGAAGTCTCGCTTATCCTCTGCTAACATTATGTCATATCTTAAATTGTTTTCTTGGCAATAATCGATAAAGCCTTGTCTGCGTCTTTCAGAGACATCTTTTATGGGTGCTTTTGAAACAAAAAGCAGTTTTTTTGCACCACGTTTATGAAGTTGTTCAGCGCCAAGATGTCCGCCAGCGTAATTATCGGAAACGATTGTTGGAAATTGATTCGAAATTTTCTTCTCAATAGCAACGAGGGGAATTGAGGGCGCAACAAGTTCACTGATATCTGAATATGACATCGTAATAACACCAGCAACTTTTTGCGTGTTAGCCATTTCGATATATTCAATTTCTTCTTGATAATTGCTGTTAGAGTTACATAAAATCATTTTATAGCCAAATTTATTCAGCTCAATTTGTATAAAATAACTTAATTCAGAAAAAAATGGGGTATTCACAGTTGGCAATATGAAGACGACATAATTAGAACGATTCGTTTTAAGTGCACGAGCGGTAGCATTAGGAATATAATTCAGGTCCCTAATTGCTTGTTCTATTTTATGTTTAATTTCAGGTCGGTTAGGTCTGCCATTGATGTAGTTTGAAACAGATCCCCTAGACACGCCTGCCAAAGACGCAACATCATTCATATTAGCCATTGATAATCACCACTATATTAAAATAAAAAAGCGCCCAAAGGCGCTCAAACATTTAAACATTAAACCTTCCTGATAACATTTTATCAAATAAATCAGAAATTTGCTGTTGTTTCATTTGCTCTAAGTTGCTAACCTCAAGATGATTAAAATCATCTATCAAGTAATATGCTTCCAAATAAAGGGTCAAATTTTTTTTAATAAGTGCAGAGTTAGAAAGATTTGTGTCTGCATGACTTGTTGCAATGACTTGCATTGCAAACTCATTAGGATCGATTTGTAAATAATTGTCTGACATATTTTGTTACCTCAGTTTTCCAATTCACGTGCTAATGCTAAATCTTCTTGTTCTTCACGATGGTGTTTGATTGCTAAGTCATGATTCATTATCTTTTCTTTATCAGTTGTCAGATTGTAGAATAATACAAGTACAAATCCAATAAAGAGCGCAATCAATGGAATCCAAACATAATTGAATTCAATACTCAACAAAGATGATGCTTTTTGTGTTTTATTGGGGACATAATTTCCTAATGCTAGCAACCAGCCTGTTATAGCACCACCTAATCCCATGCCAAACTTTGCCGTAAAGCTCGATGCTGAAGTGACTATTCCTTCGGCACGAACACCATTTTTCCATTCACCGTAATCCACCGCATCAGATAACAAGACAGCTGGTAGTGCACCAACGAACCCGTTTCCGAAATTACCAACAATAATACCAATAATGACAATGGGGATGTTTAGCATGTGTGCACCAAGTCCTAGAATTGCTTGACCTACAATTCCAATCATTAGTCCTGCTAACATGGTCTTTTTCTTGCCTAATTTACCTACCACTAAGGGGGTAAGGAAGACTGACACGATACCGGCAGCGTTGAAGAACAAAGCTAGAGGAATTAATCCAGGTGCGTCTAAGTTGTACTTGAAGAAGTACATTGTCACTTGACCCTTAGCACTCATACCAATCCAATAAATAAATATTTCCATGACAACAATTAGCCATGGCCAGTTGTTTTTCAACGCTTTGATTGATTGCTTTACAGGCAGAGGCTTCTGCGATGAACGCGTTTGAACATGTTCGCGTAAGTTGAAAAATGCAATCAGATATAAGACAAAGAAGACTGAGGCGCCTAAAACGGCCACCCAGAAAAAGCCTTTGCTTTCATCTTTACCGCCAATTAATGCGACAAGTGGTAAAGCAATAACAGAAATTAATGTACCGCCAAAATTGGAAAATAGAGATCGAATTGTCGATAACAACACACGCTCATCTGGATCGGTGGTCATGCTTGGCAAAATTGACGTTAATGGAATATTGATCGCTGAATATAAGACATCCACGCCAATATAAGTGACATAAGCCCAGACAATTTTCCAAGTCATTGGCAAGTCAGGAGTTGTGAAACAGAGTATGGAGAAAAAGGTAAAGGGAGCGTTAAACCATAAGAAAAAAGGTCTGCTCTTTCCCCACTTAGTATGAGTGTGGTCAATTAATATTCCCCAAATAGGGCCGTCAATAGCATCAATCACACGTGCGACTAACATTAACGTTCCGACAGCACTTGCTGTAATACCGAATACGTCAGTGTAAAAGTACATTAAATAGGTGCCGACTAAATTAAAACTAAAGCTACAAGCAAAATCACTAATACCATAGCTTAGCCGTTCATTCCAAGGTAATTTACCATTTTTTTGCGTAACAATTGCATTACTTGCCATACGTTTAACCTTCTTTATTACTCATTTTTTTAGGGATTTAGTGGGATATTGATAAACTTTAACTTCATACGGACGGATAGTTGTTTCTTGGTCGTCTGTATAATTTTGAATCAATAATTGAGCGGCTTTGGGAACATCATAATTTCTAGTGATGGTGTCAGATGTGAAATTGGCAATAATCAATAAAGTCGTTTCAGAATTGGTTCTGGTGTAAGCAAAAATGTGATCATCCTGCTCATTGTCAGGCAAAAGCTTGAACGTACCATCAGTAATGACTGGTAGTTGGTGCCGAAGTTTGATCAACTTTTGATAGAAATAGAATATTGAATCAGGATTGTCGAGTGCTGCTTTGGCATTGATGGCTTGATAATTAGGGTTAGTTTCTAACCAAGGTGTGGTGTCAGAAAAACCGGCATTTGAACTTGTGTCCCATTGCATTGGTGTACGGGCATTATCGCGAGATTTTGATTGGAAATACTTCAACATCGTTTCTTCAGTCACTAATTTTTCGGTCACAACGAGTTCTTGATAGGCATTAATCGTCTCTAAATCCTGATATTGGTTGATTGTATCAAAGTAAGCATTGGTCATACCAAGTTCTTCACCTTGATAAATATAAGGGGTTCCCTGCATAAAATGTAATAAGGCCGCTAGCATTTTAGCAGATAATTCGCGAAATTTTGGCGAGTCATTTCCGAACCTTGAAACAACACGTGGTTGATCATGATTATTCCAATAAAGACTGTTCCAAGCTTTACCACTCAAAGCTTGCTGCCATTTAACTAGGTTTTCTCGCAACTCAGGCAAAGCTGCTTTGCGATCAGACCACTTTCCTAATGCGGGATTTGTGTTGCTGTCTAAGCCAACATGTTCAAATTCAAACACCATATTAAGTTCCGAACCATCTTTATTAGCATATTTTTGTGCTTCAGAAATTGTAACCCCGGCTGTTTCACCAACGGTCATCCAGTCATGCTTGGATAATACTTTAGTGTTCATCTCTTTCAGATATTCGTGTACGTGAGGGCCATTGGCAACAGCATCGCCGGCATTACCAAATATTGAATCACCAGTGATTGGTGCGTCGGGTAAGCCATCAGGTTTTGAAATAAGGGAAATAACATCCATTCTAAAACCGTCAATACCTTTGGCAGCCCACCAATTCATCATGTCAAAAATAGAATGGCGAACTTTGGGATTATTCCAGTTGAGATCGGGCTGTTCTTTGGCGAAAAGGTGGAGATAATATTGACCTGATTTTTCATCGTAAGTCCAAGCAGGACCAGAAAAGAAAGATCCCCAATTGTTGGGTTCGTGACCATCAACTGGATCACGCCAAACATAATAATCACGGTAATCATTGTCTGGTTCTGAAGAAGCTAGGCTTTTTTGAAACCAATCATGTTGGGATGAGCTGTGATTGACAACTAAATCCATGATGATTTTCAATCCCATTGCATGGGCTTTTGATAATAGTTCGTCAAAGTCAGCCATTGAACCAAAGGTTGGATTAATATCTTGATAATCAGAAATATCATAGCCACCGTCAATGTCAGGGGACTTGTAAATGGGATTAAGCCAAATCACATCAACGCCTAACTGTTTAATGTAATCTAATCGTTGAATGATACCGCGGATGTCCCCGATACCATCATGGTTACTGTCTTGAAAACTTTTGGGATAGACTTGGTAAACGACAGCCTTTTGCCACCATTTTTCTGTTTGCATACTTTTCTCCTTTTTGGAACGTGTCGTTTTGTACTGATTTACAAATATTAAAAATGAAATAAATGGAACGTTCCAAGTTACGTTGATTATAAAACGTCTATTTCAAAAATGCAAGCGCTTACATTTCGGGGTAGATCAATTAAAGTAGAAAATTAATGTACGCTAGTTGATGCACAATGCTTTTAACGATAAAAATTAAATTTTATATAGAATTCATTTTTTTCTTTTTTAATTAAAAAACCGAAGTCAAAAAAATTAGTTGACTTCGGCATTAGTTATATTTAGTACAGGTTAATGGAAAAATATAATGATGTTGCTGTTTTAAATTTTCGGTGATTTTTAAATGGTAATAACTTCACTCAATTATGGCCAAACCATCTGATTAGCCCACAAGTTTTCAATAACTTTGATAAATTCCTCGGGTGTTTCTGGATTCTCGCTTGTAATCCAAGTGCAGATTAAAGCGAATAGTTCATTTTTGAAGAAGACTGCTTGTCGCTCTGAAATATATGATAGTCCAGGAACGTGTTCTGATTGCTGTTCAATACGATAAATTGTGAAGTCCCGACTCTGTATTCCTAATTTTAGCTGGTGAAAGAAATAGGCGGCTGTATGGCCACAGTATATAAACAACTGACGTAGTTCGTTTTGAAAATCAAACAGAACGCGCAATTGGTTGAGCATTTGAGAATGTGAATAAATGTTGGGATCATACCATTTCTCTGGACCAATTTGATAAGCTAAGTGGACTCTCTCAAGTAATTCCTTTTGAAATTCTTCAAAAAAAGCATCAGGTGTTGCATCAGGCTGAATATATTTTTTAATGGTGGCGCGATTCAAATCAGTCATGGTTGCTAAATCAGTATTTTTAATTTTGTTAATCGGGGTATCACGTGACAAGTTTAATGATATTGCTAAAAAAATCTTCCGTTTGTCCCTGCTATCAACTTTTTAAATTACGATCCATGAATTTATTTCCTTAAGTTAATCTATTAAACAACTACTATACTCAACGATAGCAAGTATTTGTGAATAATTGTCTATCAATCTATTGAAGAATTGATGACCGAAAATAAATATTATGGGGAGATAATACCAACTGTAATAAAGAAAAAAGGGGATTGTGAGCAATGAAGGACAAGCGACAACTATTAAGTAAAAGATTCAAGATGTTTAAGGCAGGAAAGCTATGGATCGTAGCTGGACTTTCTATCGGATTCATGGGAGGCACAGTGGTGTTAAACAGCAATATTGCCCATGCTGACACTGTGAGCAGCAATGATTGTTTGACAGTAAACAAAAATGTCAGTGATAATCCGGACTCTAATCAGTCTTTAAAACAAGACAAGGTAACTCAAAATAGTAGTTTTCAGTCTAGTGAGACGAGCGCAAACATGCCATCTCAGGGTACATCTCCGATTAGTGACGACAGCGAGATAGTAAATGACACTAGTGACACAACTAAAAACAAAATGGCTGATGAGTCGCTAACTAACGCCCAAGATACAGAAACTGGCACACAGAATAATGATGGCAATACTGAACGTGGACAAATAACTGATGCTTCGGAGCCAGATAAGTTATCAAAAACTGACGAACCTGATAAAAATGCAGCTACTGACAACTCAGAGACAACTATTGTACCTGCCCCATTAACGCCGGAACAAAAACAAGCCGTTACGACAATATCACCAAATAAGATTAATGATTATCCCATCCAAATTCAGGACTCAAATGGAAATGCGTACCGCGTTTTTTCAGATATCCAAGGATATAATGGGATGCAATTTAATTCAAATCCGGCGACTAAGCATCTATATGTCGGAATTAGCAAAGACTTGAAAAGCATTGTATTACAACAAATTAATACTAAAAACCAACTGATGAAGACATATGTCATTAACAATTCGGAAACTTCTGATCAAGGTGTAGCGCTTGATTTTGCATTTGATAATGAATTTAGATATGCAATTAATAGTCACGGTGTAATATCGTTTATATCATTACCTCATAGAATAGAGATGACGCTACCAAAACAAACTGAACAAGAAGTTCATTTTTCAGTCGACACGAAACAAAAAGATGAAAATGGAAATGAAATTTATGCCGATTTGACAGAACCAGTCATTACTCCAGCAGTAACTAAAATTGATGCTTATCATACAACTAATGTCATTGACGGCAAGCCACTTGACTTCCCAGGTTATTATTACGTTAAAACGATTGGTGCAGAAACAGGTGAGGTATCCGAACAAAGTAAAGCCTATACTGAATAACAACTAAACGATGGCTTCAATGATTTTATAAACGGTAAGATTGATACAAAAAATATCCGGCAAGATGCCCATGGTGCTTATGCATTTGCTGTTTGGCGCGTGATTCAAAATGAGAACGGCGACTCAAAATCTTATGTTGCAAACTTAAATCAACCAACCACGTCATTAGATGAAGCTGTTAGAGCCTTTAATCAAGGTAATTTCTACTGGTTAAAATCTAAAGATGGACAGAATCAATTTGATGACAATGGGCGACCATTTGTTTACCAAACTGTTGGACAAATTTACCACTACACACTCTTAGTATCTGATCCTAATGATCCTGGGTTGATCAGCGCACACAAAATGGCGGTAATGCAAACTTTAGTTTGAGTAATAAATTTGTTCCCTCTACATTAGTACGATACGTTTATGCGCCTTATGAGCGTCCAGAGACACCAGGATTAAGTAGCTGGACAATTGTGAACACGCCAGATAATCCAGGCAATCCTGGGACGATCATTGATCCGAAGATACCAAATGATCCTAAGCAACCAGATGGGACAGATAAAGCCAGTTTGGAAAAGGTCATTACAAAGACGATTCACTATGTGGACGAACAAGGCAAGCAGTTATTAGCCGATAAGACATATCAAGTGACGTATACCCGAACAGCCACTTACCATGTGAATAACGCCGGTGAAGTGTCAGCGGTTGAATATAGCGATTGGCAAACCGATAATGATGATTTGGGAAATAAT